ATAAAATAGACTTTAAAACAAAGGCTATAATAAGAGATAAATAAGGACATTACATAATAATTAAGAGATCAATAAATCAAGAGGACATAACCCTAATATACATATATGCACCCAACATAGGAGCACCTACATACATAAAGCGATTATTGACATAAAAGGAGAGATCAACAGTCATACACTCATAGTAGGAGAATTTAACACCCCATTGACATCAGTGGACATATCTTCCAGGAAAAAATGAGCCTAAAGGATGCACTAGACCAGATGGATTTAATAGATATTTCAGAGGTATTTCACCCGAAAGCAGCAAAATATACATTCTTCTCAAGTGCACATGGAACATTTTCTAGGATAGACCACATATTTAGGACACAAAACAAGTCTCAATAAATTTAAGAAGACTGAAATCATATCAACCGTCTCCTCCAATCACAATGGTATAAAATGAAATCATTTACCCCAAAGCAGCAAAATACACATTCTTCTCAAGTGCACATGGAACATTTTCAAAGATAGACCACATGTTAGGACATGAATCAAGTCTCACTGAATTTAAGAAGACTGAAATCATATCAGCCGTCTTCTCTGATCACAATGGTAAGAAACTAGATATCAACTATAAGAAAAAAACTGGAAAATACACATACATGGAGGCTAAATAACATGCACAAAACAATGAATTGGTTATTAATGAGATCAAAGAAGAAATCAAAAGATACCTAGAGGCAAATGAAAATGCAAACACAATGACTCAAAATTTATGGGACACAGTGAAAGCAGTCCTAAGAGGGAAATTCATAGCAATACAAGCCTACCTCAAGAAACAAGACAAAGCCCAAATAAACGATCTAACCTTACAATTAAAAGAACTAGAAAAAGAACAGCAAATAAAGCCCAAAGTGAATAGAAGGAAATAATAAAAATCAGAGCAGAAATAAATAGAGTCTAGAAAAACAATACAAAAGATTAATGAACTAGTACTAGTTCTTTGAAAGAATAAAGAAAATTGACAGACCCTTAGCCAGACTCATCAAGGAAAAAAGAGGACTCAAATAAATAAAATCAAATGAGTGAGGAGAAATAATCACAGACTCCACAGAAATACAGTGGATCATAAGAAAATACTACGAGCAATTATACGCCAACAGATTGGACAATCTGGAAGAAATGTACACATTCCTAGAACCATACAATCTCCTAAGGCTTAGTCAAGGTGAAACAAAAATCTAAACCAGCCGATTACCACCAATGAAAAAATCAATAATCAAAAAACTCCCAAAAAACAAAAGTCCTGGACCAGAGGGCTTTATAGGCAGATTTTACCAAACATTCAAAGAAGAATTATCACCAATCTCAACCTATTCCAAAACAAGAACTAAGACTCCCTAACTCCTATTATGAGGCCACCATTACCTTGATTCCAAAACCAGGCAAAGACATTACAAAAAAAGAAAACTATAGGCCGATATCTCCTTTGAACATTGATGTAAAAATCCTCAACAAAATATCAGCAAACCAGATTCAGCAATACATTAAAAACATCATGCACCATGATCAAGTTGGATTTATTCTTGCGATGCAAAGTTGGTTCAATATCCACAAATCAATTAATGTGATACACCACATTAACAAATCAAAAGATAACCATATGATCATGTCAATAGATGCAGAAAAAGCGTTCGTCAAAATCCAGCATCCATTTATGACAAAAACTCTCAGCAAAGTGGGAATAGAGGGAACATACCTCAATATAATAAAGGCCATATATGACAAACCTACAGCCAACATCATACTCAGTGGGGAAAAGTATTTTCCTTAAGATCAGGAACAAGACCAGGATGCCCACTTTCACCACTCCTCTCCAACATTGTATTGCAAGTCTTAGCCACAGCAATAAGACAAGAAAGAGAAATAAAAGGCATCCGATTTGGGAAAGGAAGAAGAAAAACTCTTGTTATTTGCTGATGACGTGATACTGTATAGAGAGAATCCTAAAGATTCCACCAAAAAACTGTTAGAACTGATCAATGAATTCTATAGAAGTAGCAGGTTACAAAATAAATATTCAGAAGTCAGTGGCATAAGTCATTGAAAAAAGAAATTGAAGAAGATACAAATAAATGGAAGCATATACCCTGTTCATGGGTAGGAAGAATCAACATCATTAAAATGCCATACTACCCAAAGCAATCTATAGATTCAGTGCAATCCCTATCAAAATACCAATGGCATTTTTCAGAGAGCTAGAACAAATAATCCAAAAATTTCATGGAGCCATAAAAAACTCCAAATAGCCAGGGCAATCTTGAGAAAGAAGGACAAAGTTGGAGGTATCACACTACCTGATATCAAACTATACTACAAATCTACAGTAATCAAAACAGCATAGTACTGTTATAAAAACATATATTGATCAATGGAGCAGAATAGAGAGCCCTGAAATAAATCCACGCCTTTACGCTCACTTAATATATGACAGAGGAGGTAAGAATATACAATGGGGTAAAGACAGTCTCTTCAATAAATGGGAAAATTGGAAAAATACATGCAAAAAATAAAACTGGACCATCTTCTTACACCGTATACAAGAATAGACTCAAAATGGATTAAAGACTTAAATGTAAGACTCGAAACCATAAAACTTCTACAAGAAAACATAGGCAGTAAACTCTCTGATATTACTAACAGGAACTTCTTTTTAGATATGTCTCCCTGCATAAGGGAAACAAAAGAAAAACAAATATGACTACATCAATCTTAAAAGTTTTTGTACAGCAAAGGAAACCATCAACAAAAAGACACTCGACTGGGAGAAGATATTTGCTAAAAATACATCTGATAAGGGGTTAATATCCAAAATATATAAAGAACTTCTACAACTCAACAACAAAAAGACAAACTAATTAAAAATGGGCAGAAGACCTGAGCAGATACTTCTCAAAAGAGGAAATACAGATGGCTAGTAGACATATGAAGAGATGCTCAAGGTTGCTAAACAACAGAGATATACAAATTAAAACCACAGTGAGATACCACCTCGCACCTGTCAGAATGGCTATCATCAGTAAATCAAAAAATAACAAGTGTTGGCGAGAAAAGAGAACCCTCATACATTGTTTGTGGGATTGCAGATTGGTACAGCCACTGTGGAAAAGTCTGAAGGTTTCTCAAAAAATTAAAAATGGATATGCCTTTGACCTAGCAATTGCACTTCTGGGTATTGATCCAAAGAAAACCAGAACAATAATTCATAAAGATCTATGCACTGCAATATTCATGGCAGCACAATTTACAATAGCCAAGATATAGCAGCAACCTAAATGCCTATCAACAGATGACTGGATAAAGAAATTATGGGTCATATATACAATGGAATATTACTCAGCCATTAAAAAAATGAAATCCTACCATTTGCAATGACACGGATGGACCTAGAGGTTATTATGCTTAGTGAAATAAATCAGAGAAAGATAAATAGCATATAATTTCACTTTTATGCAGAATCTAAGGAACAAAAAGAACAAACATCAAAAACATTCGCAAATATAGTGGACAACTTGGTGATGGACAGAGGGGAAGGGGTTTGGGGGGCTGAGAAAATGGAGCGAAGGGTTAAAAAGGACAAATTGTAGTTGATAGTTGGTCACGGGGATGGGGAACACGGCAGAGGGAGGGTCAGGGGAGGGAGGAAGCAATTGGGAGGATTGTTTTATGAACTATATAGATGTCTAACCAATGTACCGTATACTTGAAACTAATTTAAATAAATATTTTAAAAAATGGAAAGCCCTTTCCACTTCTCCATGAGTGTTAGGATGCCTTCCATGTAATCTGTCTCTCTTCTTGCTGTGTCTCTTCAAATATTTAAAGCTGCTGCAATACTTGATTACATGCATATACTTATTAGAATCTTTCCTCCCATACTTTAATAATGATGCTCCTTTTTCTATCCAGAATTAGTCTTCACATTTAAATTCTTATTAGTTTAAAATAAGAATAAGATTTATCCTTGTGTCCCCTTAAGCAAGCAAAAATATTGTCATGTTCTTTAGTCACATTTAATAGTTATATGGCAGGAGTACATTATTCATGTACTATGCCAACTGTTATGTAATTACCTTAAGATGTGCACCCTGGCCCTGCAGGTGAATGTGGTCTAATTACCAGTGCCAGTAATCTGCAGATGCATCTGGGAGCTCTGTTAGCCATTGCTATGCTCAGACCCTGAGCAACATTGTGTCCTGAGCCCTTGGGTCTTCCTTTTTAAATCAGGGCCTGAACCCACAGATCAGCCACAGGTTGGGGCTCTGTGTCATATGCTAAATTGTGCGTTACTTTCAGTGCTGTTCCTCAATTTGCAGTTGTCACTAAAACCTCTTTATTTTAAATGCAGAAGGCATAAATATTCCAGCAGACCAGCCAATTACTAAACTTAAGAATTTAGAAGATGTTGTTGTTCCTACTATGGAAATTAAGGTAATTTACCATTAACTGTTTCGATTTTTTTTTTTTATTAAACTAAATTCCTCTTTACTAAATTAAATCATTTGAAATAGCCTTTTTTGGCCAGTCATAATTGGTTAAATATTGGCAGTTTCATTTGTTTCAACGTATAGTTTTTTTTTTTCTTTATTAGATTCCCTTTGCCCAAGTCTTAGAATACTTAAAAGCCTCTCCTGCTTTCTTTTCTTTTGCCTTCACTATTATACCTCCCATCTTACTTATATAGAAAGTTCGTTAGACTGTTATCTTCATTGGCAGAAGAAGGAAAGATTCCATGTGTTTATGCCAAGATTAATTTTCAGCTTGGCAAGAAGCATCCTAATTGTTTTATATTGGTTTTAAAAATTCTGTATGCATTAGAATATTTTAACTATGATGTATTATAGTATTAAGTAATGCAGTATGTATTACAATTAGTCAATATTAAATTGACTAATATACCTGATACTTTTAGCTATTTAACAATGATCTGTTATTGATAGAAGTACCATATAGACAGGGATAAATGTAATAATAAAGGTTATAGTTAAAAAATTATCATTTTAACTGTATTGTAAATCTCTTGAGTTTGCAGTTTAGTGCTTAGTATCTGTAAGTTATTTGATTTGAAATATAGCTGTATTGTGTGGATTAACTGATAACTTTCCAGCTATACTGGCAATGTTATTCAGCTGAATACTTTCTGAAAATGCCATATTTAGCAGTTATAACCTAGAAAACTTCTCTCCACACATTTATAAAATTTATTCTGTTTTTGTGAGGAGTTCACTATTTCTCAGATGATTTAACACAAACAAGTCAGTGTTAAGACCTGAACCCTGGTTTTCCAATAGTTTTCAGTGATACTATTCTAACTTTGTATACCCTCCTTTTATTAAGAGATATTTAGGGAGGTAAATTGTGTTATCTATGTCACTTTCTTAAACTTTTCCAATGTCAAATATTCTCTTTCATTTAAACAAAATTAAAATTATAGCTCTAATTTTTAACCAACAGCACATTGGCATTCATTCCTCTGTTTAATATTAAAATTGTTGATGATAATCCATTTTTCTTTAAATGCAAGTAGTGTATCTTATCTATTACCATATTCTTTTTATTAGGTTGACCCCACAGGAGAATATGAAAATCTGGTGACTATACAGTCATTTAAAGCAGAATTTCGTTTAGCAGGAGGCATAAATTTACCAAAAATAATAGATTGTTTGGGCTCCGATGGCAAGGAAAGGAGACAGCTTGTCAAGGTGAGACTTCCCTTCTATGGTGTTGTTTTTAGAGGGTTAATGAAAAAAAGTCAAAGAAAAACTATAGTTGGTATTTTCTTCCTTCATTTGAGTCTTTATTTTTATTCTGAATACTTACAAGTAAGAAAAACTTATAGAATAGAAATACATTATTTTCTAGAAGGAGAGTGCTTGTCTCTATTTTTTTGTGTCTCTGAAAGACCATCATTATAACCATTGATTGAAGTAAAAGAATACTTTTAATATGTACAGACATGGTGAGATTAACAATCAATCAGATGGCTTGTTATAGAAAGGGTATTTTGGTGGTGGTTGCTTATTGTCTTCAGTAGTCAAGTTGAAGGTCTTTGCTTCAATATCCTGAATCTAGCACAATGCTAAGTGCTATTAAATGTACCAGAAAGGAACAACATTCTTACCTTACTGTGCTCAAAAGCTCTTTGGACCTTGCTGGAGGGTAGTGGGGAGACAACAGTGCTGCCCCACCCAGATATTTTGCCATGTGTCCTCAGAGGAGTTCCAGTTAGTCTAATTATAAAAGCAGCTAGGGGAAACTTCTTTTCTAAATTGCTCTGTGTTACTACCCAGTGTTATAGCTTATTCTAAATTAAAGAATAGTCTAGGTCTTAATTATTTAGGAAACTTAAGAGGAGCACAGATGTGCAGATTGATTTCTGAATGCTCTTTCTCAGTCCGCAGATGGCTGTGTGTGATTTTATAATAGAGTGACCTGAGCTTAATTTTCCTGTTTTGATTATTCTGAAGGGCCGTGATGACCTGAGGCAAGATGCTGTCATGCAGCAGGTTTTCCAGATGTGTAATACATTACTGCAGAGAAACACTGAGACCAGGAAGAGGAAACTGACTATCTCCACATATAAGGTAACTAGTTTATAGTTCTACTGCTTCACCAAGAACATGTAAAAGATGCCATTATTCAGACCAGGGGTCAGCGAATGTTTTCTGTGAAGGACCAGATAGGAATCATTTGAGACTTTGTGGGCCACATAAGGTCTCTGTCACATAGTCTTTATTTTTACTTTATAACCATTTTATCCCCAAAAAACACTCTTAGCTCTCAAGCTGTACAAAAAACAGTCTAGGGCTGGATTTGGTCCAAAGGCCATAGATTGCCAACCTCTGATTTAGCCATATTGTTTTTATTTTCGTTTTTAAAAGTACTCATTAATGTTGATTGTAATTAGATGTTTCTTGTAATCAACTAAGATATTTTTTCCTTATCTTTGTCCATTTCGGTTACTCTCATATAAAAGTACCCTTAAGAATAAAAGTGGTGTTACGAAGAAAATATTCAGTACAGATATAGCACATAAAATAGGCTTTAAAAAATTTTAATTTGTTATATATTGACTAGGTAATAAGTTTGGATGGTTGAAAAATCTAACAATAGTAAAGATATAAAAAGAGAAAGCTTCTGTCACCCTTATCCCTGTCAACCTCATCCCCCACCCTTTATCCGTATAAGTACCATTTGCATTTGTTTCCAGTATTATGCAAATGAATATATGAATATATTTCCCTATTTCCCCCTTTCTTAGAGAAAAGACAATATGCAAATCTTTTTTAACTCAACAATATAGAGATCTTATTTAAGAGCTGCATTTTGTGGATGTACGTGGTTATCACAAAAGTTCTTATAAATTGGGCATTTGGGTCGTTAGTAGTCTTTTGCTATTGCATACAGTACTATGCTACAATGAATAACCTTGAACATATAATATTTCACATGTGCAGCAGATCAATTTGTGGGATAGATTTCCAAAAGTTGCATTGATGCGTCAGAGGATAAGTGCACCTATAATGAATTTGGTAGTAATGGCAGAATATACCGATTTACATTTCCTCCAGCTGTTTTCTGAGAACACAGTTCTTAAGTCACATTATTCTATTTGTTAGTCATCTTTGGGCCTTATGTTGAAAGGTCATTTAGCATGTTTACATTTTAAAAAATAACAGTAAACCCTCATTTTGAAGGGTCTTTTTCATAGGTACCATCCTTTTTGGTTTCTCATGCCTGAATTTCATGTTTGCCCTTTATTCTTCTATCACTGCTGTAATGGCTTATTTGTTTTTCATTGTTCATGTTTCTGTGATGGTATAAACAAATTAAGAAAGTATATGAATAATTCACTGTGTAAGAGAGAAGTAGTCTTTCAAAGACTCTTAGGATAGTGTCCCATATCTGTTTCTTAAACCTACAAAACGGTACATACCAACAAGTATTTATTTTCTCTAGCAATTAACTCCGCTTGACCTAGAGTTATTTTAACCATCAACTAAGACTAGTTTAAAAATATAATTGAAAAAAGTCCCTTTCACAGTAATAAAAAGTATAGACTACATGAAAAAATATTTTAAAAATATACAAGAAAGAGTAAAGGAAAACTAAAGTAAGAGAAAGATACCATATCTTAAGTGGGAAGACGTTGAAAAATGTCAGCTCATTTCAAATTAATGCATAGACAATGAAATTCCAATCAAAATTTTTATAACTTGGAAAAATGATTTAAAAGTTTATCTTGAAAAATATATTGGTGAGAAAGACTAAAATGTCTTTGATCAAAGTAGTAGGTGAGAATAGGCTTTATCCAGTCATACTTAATCAAATGGCAAAGTTTTAGTGATGAAAATGGCATGATTTGTGGCTTAAGAATAGATAAGACAGAATAAGTACCGTTGAAACAGATGTTTATGTAAACATTTATAAGAAATCAGTATATAACTATGACTTTTAAAAAGTTCTTGAATAAGCCTAAAAATGCTGTCTTCTCTGAGTATGATGGGATTATGCGTAATACCTACTTTTTTATATATTTTAAGTTCTTCACAATGCACATAAAAGTTATTATTAAACTAAAAATCCCAAATAAGGGAGCAGGGCCGGGGATTAGATCTTCCCTGCAAAATTCTGATTGAGTTATTGAAATTCTGATCGTAATTGAAAAGAACTTAATTTTGATAGAAATATAAAAATCATTTGTTAGTAATTTTGAAACAAATATAAAAATCATTTAGGGTAGGGGCGGGAAAGTGTATTATTAAGAAAAGCACACTTTTCTTTTAGCCTTCAAGTTTGTGAGAAATTTGTTACATGAACTTTTATAGGATATTAACTAATATAATTGATCCTTCCCATTAGCAGTTAAAAAAAAAAACTAGTTAGTCCTCAATGAATGCTAAACGGAAGTTAAACTTAGATCAGTGTTACTCAAACTTGGCAGGCATCATAATCATTTGGAGGATTTATTAAAACACAAATTGCTGAGCCCCATTTTCAGAATTTCTAATTCTAGGATGGGGCTTGAGAACATGCATTTCTAACAAGGTACCAAGTGATGCTGATAAGGCTGTGCACACTTTGAGACCTGCCAGTGTAGTTACTTTGCTGTCTATTGATCTAGTTTCCTTGTTGTACAGAGTTGATGAGCTAATAGCTGTCTCCTATCTGGCAGATACTTTAATGATTACTAAAGGAAGATATTCTATAATATGAAATGAAAGGAAATTTTTATATTCTAAATATTAGGCTTTTAGATACAAAGACGATGACTGAAGAATTGAGTTCCAGCGGGTCACAAAAAATGTGGGCTGTTAGGAGTACCTCCTGATTCTCTCAGAAAGCAGCTAAGGTTTCCACGCAGATACACAGTTGAGCCTCTAGAGTTCATTGCTCTAAAGCAATGAAAGAGAGAAGTCCTTGACCTAGAATAGTTCGAAGGCAGAAATTACTAAACTTCTATATCTACCTTATGACTTTTTTAATATCTAAGTTTTGCACAGAACTATTTTACCAATTAAATAATTGCATTATTTAATGTTATACAGCTATGTGAATATTAAAGTATAACTTCTTAGCATGAGAGTTTATGTTTGACTTTATTGCTTAGGATTTCAGGACTAGGCCAGTAGATCTGTTATTTTGAGGTTGTTCCAGGAATGTAAAAATATGTCATCAATATATTGAGCTAGTTCTTGGGTTTTTTAGTTAAGGTTTCTGGAGGTACTGTACTATATGTAGGAAGCAGTCTACCTAATTCAGACCTTCTGTGGAGTCGTTCCCAATTCTGGCATTCAGGCCTTCTGTGATCATTGTGTCAGCAAGAGGGTTCACTGACTATCTGGATCTAGCTCTTGGTACCCAGATCTCAGGTGTCAAAAGGAGAGACTTGTGTATTGAAGTGCACCAGGTATCTCTTGTCAGAATCAGATGAAGATGAAGGAAGACCAAGTTCTTACTGTATGTGCAGATAATCATAGCACTAACAACCAGAATCAGTGTGCCTTGCCTAGTTTTTCTCTACCAAAACTCCATTCTTACTAAGTAAACTGAACAGCAAGTATTGTGTTGGGTAATATACTAGATAATGGGGTTATAAAAGTACTAAAACATAGCCTTAGTCTTTAGGAGCTCACAATCTAAAAGGGGAAGTAGACTCACAAACACAATTATAATGAAAAGTGTTAAGTGCATTGTTAGAGACAGTGCCCTTAGGGTATGTAGTATCACAGGAACAGGCCTAGCCTGAAGAGGTCCTGCAAATCATTAGAAAAATTTACATTGTAGATTGTGGGTCAGTAGTCCTGGTCCTTTTGTTCCTTGGACATCTCTGCTTATAATAAAACTCATTTTTCCTTTAGTTAGTCTGTAAAAGATAACTTGTAGCCTAGATACAACCTTTTGGAAGTGCTAGTTCCTGATAAGGTTAGTCAGTTATGTAGAGCTCTAAGAGATATCTCAAGCTCAACAGGTTTAAAGTAAAGCTTTTGATTTATCACCTTTACCTCCAAAAACCCCTACACCAAAAATAATCTGCTCTTCCCTATCTCAGCAAATGGCACCACCTTCATCTAGCTGCTCAGACCAAAACCTGGAGAACTTATTTTCTTTTTACATTTATTACTATGGAAAATTTCAGACATAATACAAAAGTAGATTGAATTAGATAATAGACCCCCTTGTGCCCATCACTCAGCTTCAACAATTATCAACTCAAGGACAAGTTTGTTTCATTTCTATTCCCACCCATTTCCTTCCCTCCAGTAGTACTTTGAAGCAAGATGTCATATTATTTCACCTGCAAACATTTCAATGTGTAGTTCTATAAATAACATCTCTTAAAAAAATAACCATAATACTGTTGTCACTCCTAAAACAATTAACAGTAATTCCTAAATATTACCAAATATTGGGTTTCATTTTAAACTTCTCTCTCAAGTCTCACATCGATTCCATCAGCAAGTCCTTATTGGTCTGCTTTTAGTCAGGTCACTTTTTTACCACCTCTACCATTATCACTCTACTCCAAATGACAATCATTTCTCTTTTAGGGTATCCAGTGAACCCTTACTCCTGCTCTTGGCTCCCCAAAGCTAGTTCTACTCAACAGTTAAAAAGGTTCTTTTAAAAATGTCTAAGAGAGTGTCACTTTTCTGTTCAAAACCCCAGATGACTTCATATTATCCCTTAATGAAAGTGATTTGCCCTTTGCTGTTTTCTCTCCAACCTGACCTACCACTCTCCCTTTATCTCTCACTTTCTCCTTGTAATGGATGAGTCACCTTTACTTGATTCAGTGGGTCTTCTTGTTATAGCTCAGATACAATTTTGTTTCATCTCAGGGCTTTTTTACTTTCCATTTCTTAGAATGCCCTTCCCTCAAATCTTTGCATGAATTACTCCCTTTGTTCAGATTTGTGCTCCATTGTCACCCCCTTAGAGAGGCCTTCTCTTACCTCCATCACTTTCTCTATTTTTAAAATGCATTTTTCATTCTATTATACTTATTATCTGGCATCATGAACTGTTATTAGTGTTTACATTACCTCACTAGAATGAAGCTTTATGAGGATATGGTCTTCATCTTGTTTGCCTCTCTCTTCTCAGTGCCTTGGCATCATGTGTGACACAGAATAGACTCGCAACAAATGTAGTTAAAAATTAATGAAAGGCCTCCTAAGACACAAAACATAAAACAGTTCAACATTGGAGTACATTAAAACAAAGAATTTATAGAATTAAAGATACAATAAAGATAAGTGGCCAACAGAGAAAACAAATTTAATAATGTTAATAACAATAACAAAGGATTGTAATATTTATAAGATGAATTTATATACAGAGTATACAAAGAACTCTTACAAACTAGTAATAAAAGGAAAACGCAGTAGGAAAAAAGGTAAAAAATACAAACAGGCAATTCATAAGAAGAAAACATTCAAATAACTAATAAGCCTATCAAATTATACTCAACCTTTCTGGAAATCTGGAAAATACAAGTGAAAACCACAGTGAGTTACCATTACACACTTCTTAGATTGGGAAAATCTAAAAGACATACTATGTATTGGAAATACATAGTATGGAATAAACTCTGCTGGTGGGTATATAAATTGGTACAACCACTTTGGATAGTGATTTGGCAATCTAGTTAAGTTGACAGTGCACGTCCCCTATAATGCAGCTATTCAGTTCCTATATATTTACTGTAGAGAAACTAAACTATATTCACTGGTAGACTAGTTCATTACAGTAGTGTTCGAGACAGATCCGGAAACAGTGTAAATATTAATACGTGGATTAGATAAATTAGATAATTGTGGTATATTTATACAGTTGTTAAAATAAATAATTTAAATGTGCTAACACAGCTAAAAGTAAAATAGTGTTGGGTGAGGAAAAAAATCAAATTGTGGACACATACATATAGTATAATGCTCTTTATTTAAAACCTACAAAAATTTATGGCTATATAGCTTTGAAATAAAAATATACCAAAAATACGTGAACGTGATAAACAGGTTAGCAGTCATCTTGATGAAGCATCTGGCATGCCATCTTGGAGAGGGGCATGAGGGTTACAAAGGGTGTGTCCTCTCATTCCCAGCAAATATGAGAAAATCTCAGATTCAATAAAGCTGTTTAGTGGGTAAACGGGTGTTTGTTTGTATCGTTTTCTACACTTTATGGTATGTCATAATTTTTAATCTTCCCAGTAAAGATTTTATGTTTAGGAATACATTTCTTCTTGATGAAGCTAATAAGACTATAAAGTAAAAGTACATATACTTGCAATTATTAAGGTATATTGAAATTGAGATTACATTCAATATTTTCCAAAGTAAAATTCTTCAGATTTCTTTGATATTAAAAATATAAGAAAGCATGATTAATTCCTCTTCCAAATGGAACAAGCTAAGTACAGTTCTATCACGGATGATGAAGCGTATCGACAGGATTGACCTCTCAGGGAATCATTGAGACTGAGAGATAGATGAGCAGGTTCTCAGAAATCTAAGCAGCAGCCTAGAAAAACTTATTCTGAGCTTAATTGTATTTTTGATTGCCTGCTTCCAATGAGTTCTGTCTCCTATGCACAACTTGGAAAAATGCTTCAGTCTGACTCTGATAGTTGAATGATTGTCACATGCTCTTTAATGCCCTTCCATAATCAAAAGGTACTTAATCTGTAATTTCAGGTGGTTCCCCTTTCTCAGCGAAGTGGTGTTCTTGAATGGTGCACCGGAACTGTCCCTATTGGTGAATTTCTTGTTAACAATGAGAATGGTGCCCATAAAAGATACAGGCCAAAGGATTTCAGTGCCTATCAATGTCAAAAGAAAATGATGGTAAGTGACACTCAAAAGTATAAGTTATTGCAAGATATTTAATAGCTTTAAAGCTGACAGTTATCAAAGATGGAATATAAAAAGTTTTAATTTCATCAGGTAATTAACAGTAATAAGTAAAAGAAAGTGAGCTCACCAGAATGAAAGTGTGTGAGTGAAAGAAGGTTTTTAAACTATGTAGTGTCAACCCTTATTCAATGAGAAATTTAACAGTTTTCATTGTATGGTAATTTGCTTCCAGTTTGGGGTGAGCTAATTCTTAACAAAAGAAACAAAATAGTAACAAAAAAACAGATTATGAAATAATTTTTCTATGAAACTAATATAGAGACCTTTTGAGACACTTGCCAATTGGTGTGACATTCACCCAATCAATATTTATTGAATGCTTGCTCTCTACTAAGTACTATACTGAGACTTCAGAAATGTTACTGCTAATCATTTTCATACTTAACCCATTGTAAGATGAGAAGAAATTTAGAGAATTTCACTTGCCCAGGGTCAATGAACTAATAAATGGTGGAGCAAGGATTTGAACCTTGTCTGTCGAACTCTAAAATCCATTTACTTGTGCTTTTATTGTGCTTTCTATTATATGTTTTAAAAATGTGTGGTAAAGTACTATAGGCATTGTGATGGAAGGCTGAGCAGGGTACAATGTAGGCACAGAGGAGGAAATGGTTGGTTTTACCTAGGAGAGAGGTGAGTGGAGAGAATCAAATTCAAGGGAGGCTTCACAGAGGAAATGGTGTTGGATCCGAGTTTTGTAAATGAATTTGTTTGCCTAGCAGAAGGAGATGAAGAGGCATGAACAGGCAGTTAAAGATAGCATAGGCTTGATCTTTGAGTAGGAGTAGATAGGTGTTTGGAACAGTAGTTAGTCAAAGAAATGGAGGATTGTTTTATGAAATGTTAAGAAGTTTGTACTTTTATAGGCAATGGGGAACCCTTGAGAAGAATATTAATATTAGAATTGCAGTTTAGAAAAATAACTGATAGCACTGTGGGTTATATTTTTGAGAAAGCCAACTAGAGGTATAAGATGGATCTGAACTAATTTTAATTAATTTTCATTAATTTTTAATAGGAATGGAGAATAGGGAGTACATTTGAGAAATATTAAAGAAGCAGGACTGATAGGATTTGGTTGCTAATTAGAAGTGAGGTTGGTGAAAGTGTTATCAGTGGCACCCAGTTTTCTGGATGGGGTGATGGGGTGGATGAAGAGGCTATTTACAGTGTCAAAAAATAGAGGAAGTGGTTGAGGTTTGCCAAAGATGAGAAGGTAAATTAGTTTGAATTTGGAGGAGATCCAAGTGAAGATGTTGAGGGGGCAGTTGGAGAAGCACATCACAGTGGAACTTAATAAAGATATCTGGGCCAAAGATACAGATTTGGAAGTCATCAGCACATTGATAGATGAGAGTTGAGCCCACTGAAGTAGACAAGCTTTGCTTCCAAGAGGTGTTATTATTCTGTATAGTGAGAAGATGTTAGAGGACAGATCTGAGACATGTCAGCTACTTTGCCATCTGTCAGTTATTCTTCCATTCTTCCTTCTTTTCTCTGTTTCCTATCACACCCCTATTGCTGTGATACCACCTAAGACTATCTGGAGCTGCCTTTGGCATTTTCATGTTTATTTCCACATAGATTACAGGATCATTCAAATTAGAATTTACTTTAAAAAAAAATAACAGTCATTGTTGGTGTACCTCTTTCCACTAATATTAACATGAAAACTCTAAAAGAGATTATAACTTGTTATTAATTGCTTCCCTGACCAGACTGTTAACTTTTTATGGGTAAAGATAAAATCGTGTTTATCTTTTTATTTCTTCTATATGTATCATACTATTTTCCATATAGAAACTCTTAGTAAACTTAATTAGTTCAACACAATATTGAGAAAATAATTTTATATTTGATTTATTTAAAGGATGTGCAAAAGAAGTCTTATGAAGAGAAATATAAAACCTTCATGGATATTTGCCAGAATTTTCAACCAGTTTTCCGTTACTTCTGCATGGAAAAATTCTTGGATCCAGCTGTTTGGTTTGAGAAACGATTGGCCTATACTCGCAGTGTGGCTACTTCTTCTATTGGTAACCTTCTTACACATTTTAGTAGATTCAGCACTTCCTACATTTTCAGTTGAAAGGGAAAAATGGTGTTGATGGTGGTCTTCTGCCAAACCATATTATCATTAGATCATTGAATTTCTTGTTCATCATGATTCTGAGCTTCTAATTGTAGCTCTTCTTAGCTTTTACAGGAGAGAATTCTCCTACCCCAAGGTAGGGCAATAAGACTGGTTATTATTCTTTTTTGTTTAATAGTGAGTGTAGCTTATTTTTCTTTTTCTGAATTCACTATATTATTTTCTGAGATTTTCCTTGGAAAATAATAATACCATGATGACTCCATTTAAGTTATTTCCTTTAATTATTGTTGTTCTTCTGCACAGAACCTTTATAATACCATGATATTGTCACCCAGTGATTGATTGTGTTTAATAGAATTTTTTTTTGGAATAGAAATAATGATATGTGTAAATATTCAGTGTACAACATATATTTTGACTTTTTTTTAATTTCTGAGAGTTTAGACTAGATTGGTCAATTAACAAAACCTTAGAGTATGAGAAATAACAAGAACATCAAAGCTCTTTTAATTCATTGATTTTTAACTAAAGACCACTTCCTCAATCACTTACATACCATATCCCCAGGAAGGCAAGGGCATGTATATTTTGGGAAAGTTTTAGGTAATTATGAAATGCTTTCTTTTTTTCTATATTGGGAATCAGTAATCCGATTCAGCTGATTTAGTTTATAAACAAGAAAGTAAGCCCGCTTAATGACAGAGCTCACCAGGCGCTCAAGCATTCAGTGTCTTTTCTGTAACACCACGTGTAGTGTCTTTCATTAGGTTAAAAGCATTTTAAGCCTTGTTATCCTCTGTCTTAAAAATAGAAATGCAGTTTTTTCTGGATATATACCTGATGAAATGAATTAATGATTAATTTGTGTTAAATATAATTCATCAAGCAGAAAAAAGTTTCACTGAAAAATGAAGAATCTACTCCTCGGCTTCTCAATTTAAAAGTATACTCAATATATATTTGACTGTATATAATGCTCTGCTTTGGCCCTGGTAAATAATCTCAACTTTAACCACACCAATTTTTGAATCACTGATATTTTTTAACGTGTTTTTATTAGCAAAGGGAAAACTTTTTAACAAATCATCTAGCATTTGTAAAATTCAATATAAATGAAAATAGCTAGCATGATTTGACTTAAACTCAAAATGGCCAGTGATGTACATGATTTCCTTTAAGTTGGCTAAAAAGCCTTAGCTACTTAAAAATTATACAGAGTCAATGATATTAGTTGAAATTATGGCTAAATTTGTTACAGAAATAGATGATATCAGTGATCTCAGGTTGTTTTTTTCCAGTTGGTTACATACTTGGACTTGGTGATAGACATGTACAGAATATCTTGATAAATGAACAGTCAGCAGAACTTGTACATATAGATTTAGGTAAGTAATCAAACATATATTTTTATTCTATTTAATAAATACTTAGTCATCTAGAAATGTTGTTTGCCTACCAGGATAATCAGGTATTAGGGAGATAGATAATCAAAGCAGTAAATATTATTTTAAAAAGTAAAAAGCATAAATAGTGCTGGTGGAGTGAGTAGCTAACTCTGCCTGGAATAATGAGTGAAATTTACTAGAAGTGACATTTAAGCCAGGTCTTAAAGAAAGAAAGGCTGTATAATCCAGACAGAAGATAAAGCAGATGTGAAAGGAGGGCTAATGAAGCACGTTGTAGGAATGGGGAGACATTCAGTGTGGCGAGAGTAAAGTTTGCATGTAGTTGAGTAGCTTGACGGATAGATTGTCATTAGACTGTAAAAAGCCAGGCTAAGGAGTTTCAACTTTAAACTGTTAAACGATGGAAAATAAATGAAGATGTATTTAAGTAGGACTTAAATAAGCAGGGTTAGATTTGATTATTGGAAATTAATTTGGGAGCAGTAGTGGCAGCAAGAAAACAGGTTAATGGATATTAAAATAGTTTAGACAAGAGAAGTTGAAGATTTAGACTATAGTTGTAAAGACCAGGCATTGGATTTGGGGGACATTTTTGTAGTAACCTGTATCAGTGATAGTAGATGTGGAATCAGTAGGAGAGGGAACTCCAGGATAACTGAAGTTTCTAACTAAGAAACACCGGTTTTGTAAAGAATAAAAAAGCTGTGAGTTTAGTTTTGCACATTGTTTTGAGGTATTAATGGGATTTCCAAGTGGAGTAGGCAGTTTAACACATAAGAGAGCAAAATGACGAGATGTAGAATTTTCAGCAAATAGATTTCAGTTGAAGTCGTTGGACTAGAAGAGTTTCTGATGTTATACATCAGCCTGGATAAAGAGGACTAAGGATAGAATCATAAGGAATGCCAGCATTGAAAAGGCTGAGTCAGAATGAGAATAAACAAGAAGTCATGGAAACTAAAAGGTGGAGATACCTTGGAAACCAAGGGAGGAAAAATTTTCATGAAGAAGTGCTTAGTTAGTATCTGATACAGAAAGGTCAAATAAGATGATTGCTGAAAATAGGCCTTTGAATTTAACAATTAATCAATCTTAGAGGTCTAGAAAGTAACCTTTAGATAGAATGGATGAAGTGAGACTGAAAAGGCAAGGGCTTAATGGAAATTAAAGATATATAGACTAAGAATGTGGAATTGTTCTTCAAGAAGTTTAAAAATGAAGGGAAGGATAGAGATATTTGCTACAGAGATGAGAAGATGAGATCCATGTTTGCCTTTTTTTGTTTTTTTTTTTTTGTTTTGAATGTTTAATATGAGAGGCATGAACATATTAGATATTGATAAGATACAGGAAAGAGACAAAGGTAATTAAAAATAGCAAGGGAAATTATAAAGTATGTGAAGGGGTAGAGTTGGCTTTACATTGGAGGTATGTCAGCTTTTCTGCTCAGAGAAGAAAAAAGGATGAGTGCTAGTAGGAAAATCTAAAGTTGGGAAAGAATTTGAAGGAAATTATAATTGCTGTTCTGTTTTTTCTGAGAAAAAGAAAGCATGTTTATTTGCTAAGAATTGGAGGGATGATAATTGGTCTTAAAAATAGAACAATAAAATTCTAAAACAGATAGCATAGAAATGAGACCAAGAGTCATAGAAAGGGACAAGTAAAAGACATGCTAAGCAGTTTAAGGGTCACTTTCCTAAGGTGATAATCTCAAATTTATAGTAGGGCCAATAGTGTCATCATATGATTTCTTCCAGTAGTCCTCAGCATCCCGGGATTTTAGTTTGAAATGGTAGGTGGAGAGGCAAGGGAGTGATCAGCCTTGCAGTCTATTTTCTGAGCCGAGTAGGGAAGAGAGGCAAATAGACTAGAAATCTCAATGAATTTGACAACTATTTAATATAATAAGTGTGTAGAAGGAGAAGAGGTTTTTATTAAAAATGTAGAATTTAAGATTTCTAAGAAGGTACAGTTTTAAGAAATTATAAATTCTACAGTATAATCCATATAAATGACTTGAGTAAATTGAGAGTAAATTGAATTTCATTAGAACAAGGAAGATCGAGGATTTTATGTGGTTTTCCCCAGAATGAATTCCAGAGTTGGCACAGAATGGAAGTTTGTGAGCTAGGTCCATAGCAGCATTCAGTGAATTGAAGAGAAAGGTTGGGGTATAATAATGAGGATGAATGGGGTCACTAGATCCAGAAGGTAGGAACCTCAGTAGAGGAGTGAGATTTTACATGAGAAGGGAAAGGCAGTGGTCTGGAAACTGCAGAGTAGAGATAGGAGTATGCCACCTTCTGTCCAAGCCATGCTAAAAGCATCTAAAAATGAGAAGAATGATTGGTACAACCACTTTGGAATACTGTTTGGCATTATCTTCTAAAGCTGAGCTTGTGCATGTCTTATGACCCAGCAGTTTCACTGCAATAGAAATGCACACGTGTATAAGAATGTTCATAGCAATGCTATTCATAATAGCTCAAACACCCATCATAAGTAGAATGGATGAATAATTATAGTATTTTCATAAAATGGAATACTATATAACAATGAGATTGAATGAATTATAACCACACACAACATGGAAGACTCAAATATAATGCTAAGTGAAAAAATCCAGATACAAAGGAGTACATTCTGTATAATTTCATTTCTATAAAATACAGAACCTGGTAAAATTAATCTACAGTGTTAGAAGTTAGGGTAGCGGTGACCCTTTGAAGAGTTGGTTACTGGTTAGTAGAGAGGTGAAGAGGAGCTTCTGGAGTGCTGGTTACATGGTCTGTTCACTTTGTAAAATCTGTTAGCCATACACTTGGATGGCTAGATGATTTGTACACTTCTGTGTGTATCTCTTTGGTTATCTGTTGCTGTATAACAAACCACCCCCAAATTTAGTAGCTTAAAACTACAATTATTATCTCTCATAGTCAGCTGGGAAATTCTCACTGAGGGTCTTTCGTGCAGTTGCTGTCAGCAGCTGGGGCTGGAGTCATCCGAAGACTGAGCTGTGCCAGAGTCTGAGATGGCTTTTTCACTTACATGTTTGACACTTCAGTACTCCTCCATGTGGCCTGTCTGTCCAGCAGAGTGACCTGGACTTCTTAGAGCCCATCTCAGGGCTCTAAGAAGAAGGAAGTGAAAGCTAAGGGCTTGGCCTGCAGCTGGCACAGTGTCACTCCACTGTGTTCTATTAGTCATAGTATCATAGGGCCCTCTTTCTGGGACTCTAATAACAATATGTTAGACTGTATCACTGTATCATTTATGCTGTTTACATTCTTGTTTGTATTTCCCAACCTTCCTCCCTCCACCCCCCTGCTCCAACCCACCCTGTGATGTCTGGAAACCCTATAAGCCCCAAAAGCAAGTTGGCAAGCATATAATCGTGTTAATTAGAGTCACTGCATGCTAATAATTTAGCCAATAACATGGTATTTTTTTAACAAGGCATTTATTGCTCTTATTATTTCTTTTGGCCAGAGCTATAATACAGTGAAATTTATTAATTGATGAAACTTATCTAATACAAATACATTTGTCATAGTCTTAAATTTTCTTCAAGCCTTCATATTCTTATTCTATTGCTGTCATGTTTTAAACACGTCAAACCATGTGGGGAGCCTGGACTTCCAGCCTCACCAAGCTGTAGCAAGGAGCCCCTTTCCCCTTTGACGTCTGTGGAAGCCAAGTGGGAAACGTGGTCTTCGGCCACCACTTAGCAGTAACAAGGTAGCAACTCCCAAAGCA